GAAGCGGCAAGTGCAGAAGTGGTAGGCGCCAATGGCTTTTACTCCATCCACATCGAGCGCATGGTGCTGCAGCACATGCGGTCGCGAGTGCCTGAGTCATGCAGGCCTACGGAGAAATGAGCGAGACGACTTGGGACCATCACCGAGGCGACGACGGTTGCTGCAGAGAATGTAGGCAAAATCGGAGCAGCGTTTGTAGGTACGCTGCATTGGATTTGATAACCGCATGCTTGCATACCGGGTCTCTTTATTTCAGGAGGTTGGTTTGCAATTTTGTTATAATGCTTTTCTTCCTTTTATTAATGTCTACCTGAACTATTATCTATACACTTGCACAAGTCGCTGAAGATAATTGGAGTTAAATTTGATAACATTTTCGCGTCTGTAGCATAACCATAGAATATATTTGCTGACCACTTGAACATACCGCGGATTCGCTCGTAATCAAGTTGTTTTATACGCGCATTCAGGGAACAGTTATGTTACGGTAACTGTATGCCTTAACCGTTTTAGTTTCTTTCATCTGGTCGTTTCAAATGATTGGCTATTATTTGATATCCCCAGTGTGGCTGTGCTTGATGTGCATGTTGACAAGGTGCCTACCTGTCTATTACACACTACGTCGTCCATACTGGTTCCAGGAGACAGTTGGTTGTTGTTGTTGTCCTTGTTGGGAATGGGGTGCACGGTCTTCCTGGCGGTGATAGGGTCGAAGAATGCTTTCATAATGTGTGGAACGGGTTACGGCACAGCCACCGCCATGTGTAGGTCTGATGCGCATGATTTCCTCATTAGGCCGGAATGCTTCTGTTATGCTTGTTCTAGGAATGTGGATCGCCTCCGTTGATGAAACATGGATCTCATACACATACCTCCTGGTCTTATTCCTTCGCGTTTACACCGCACATGGAGTGTGTGGGTAGAACTGTTGGTGGTGCAGCGCAAGACACGAATGGTCCCCTGTATTTATATGGATGCCGGCATCCGGTTTCGGATTTGCCTGTCACCGTGACCAGCCACAGGATGATTGTGACTACAGAGGGACAATGGATGGCTTGCGCTGTACCACCCACAGCTCCAACCACACACCCCATATCCAGTGTAAACCCGAAGGAATAAGACCTGGAGACATGTGGATGGAATCCACGTTTCATCAACGGAACCGGCCCACACTCCTTCACAGGCAAACATAAGCTAGCTCTATTCGGAAAACTATGGCACACAAGATGTTGGGTGGACCGTAGTCCGCTCTACACTGAATGCATGGAACCGCTTTTCGAGCCTAGCACGGCCACAAGGACCGTGTACCTCGTCCACTCCAGCAACGACCAACTGGCTCCTGGAGCCAGTAGGGACGAGGTAGTGGGTAATAAACAGGTAGGTACCTTGTCAACATGCACATCAAGCGCAGCCACACCGGGGATATCAAGCAACAGCCAATCGCTTGCGACGACAAGATGAAATAAAATAAATCGAATAATGCATACACATACGCCGACATAGCTCCAATAAATAAGCATATGAAATAAATTGATTGCAAAGAAACCGCGAAGCGTTCAATACGTCAGAAAATGCTATGACCGCAAAGATGCTATCAAAGTTAATTACAATAAGCTTAAGCGACAAGAGCAAGTTTAGAGAAGATAGTATAGACATTATAATGACGCAATAGGACAGTCAAGCAAACGTAACACCTGAAATAAAGAGACCGAGCACGCAAGCACACGGTTAATAAATCGGATGTAGCGTACTTACAAACGCTGCGTCGGTTCTGCCTACGTTCTCCGCAGCATCCGTCTCAAGTCACCTGGCTCATTTCTCCGCAGGCCTGCCTGACACCGCATATGCTACATCAGCATTTGCTCGAGGTTAATAAAGTACAACCCATCAGTGATTGCCGCTTCCGCACTTGCCGCTTCTTCTCCGCATGTACGAGGTCTTACTCCCATACTTCGGCAACTGCCTACGTAAAAGCCATCGGCGCCGACCACTTCTGCACTTGCCGCTTCTTCCTCGCATGCATGAGGTCTTTCTCCTGCATCTTGTCAACCCACTTCGTGATCAGATCTCGTCATGCACCCTGATCAAACGCTTTCGAATCGCTTGACCGGCAATCGCGATTAGAACGTGAGAGACTCACTTTGATCATTTCCTGGTGACGTAACTTCGGTTTCACATGCGGCTTCCCAGTACTCAACTGACTATATAATCGTTATTTCGATATCCGCGTCGAATCCATACGACTCACATGACCGAGCCATCTAAGCCGTCTCAACAAAAGTATGCAGTCCACTGCATACATTCCACTTCGACGCAACACTTCCGTGTCCGCAACTCTGTCGCCCCAACCGATGCGCAGAATACGTCACAAACATTGTCGATGGAACCGCTCGAGATATCGCACATCCCGCCGGTACATCGTCCACGTTTCACTGCCTTATAGAAGAACGGACAGCACCATTGATTTGTACACCATCAGCTTCGTGCCAACGGTAAGCTGATGGTTGTTCCACACCCAGTACTCTAGCTTCCCGAATGCCGCCACTTCCTTCGATACACGGATACAAAGCTCACTGTGTAGCTGCTGATCACACTCCCAAGGTAGCAGAAGCGGGAGGTGGTTCCAAATACTTTAGCACCAATGCTGGTTCGCGGCAATATTGAAGATTGCACCTCCGATGAAGGCTGAAAGAGACATACAGTTTTGCTTGCAAACAACGCACAGTCGTCAGCGAACAGCAACATGCGGGTAGTTGTCTCACAGATAAGGGGTTCTGGCACCGAGACGACGGATGTTCAGCAAGCCAGCATCAATACGGTGCCCCACACGAACGCCGTAAACACAAGAGGTACTGGAACGACTCATATATATTTTGCAACCGTAGTAAGGGACGCAACTGTGACTACGGCAAGACGCAGGTGGGTTTAGGTGGGTTTGCAGCAATTTGTCCAGGGGCTGCCTGGCTTGAGTCGGGCAGTAGGAAACCATTGAACACCCGGAGGTGCCTTTCGACCGTCAGAGACAATGGGTGGCGCTCGTGCTCCGCGCTAATCGTGCTGTGAGCTTATAACACGTAGACCTGTTGTCACCCACCGCAGGAAGAAGGATATCGACCACTTCCTAACCTCCGAAGAGGATGGACTAGGATACTGGAAGGGCGCCCACGCCTGACAGGAGAACGACTCGCATCCTCAACTAAAGCCTTCGATTAAATGTACACCCGAAAGGCAGCGGGTCTAGAACAAGGTCAGTTCACTGACTCATGCAGAGTGGTGTCCTGGATCCTAGAAGGGAGAAGGGCGTAACCCAACTCCCACCTAGCGGTCCCCACGAGGCGTTCAGGACATAAGCCATGGCACAACGGTAGCAGCAGTGGGTAGACTATCTGTCAGGACCTAGGCACCACCAGCCACAACGCACCATGGCAAATAAAGAGGGAAACGAAACACAGAATTAAAGAAACGATTTTTCGGTTGTACACATGCCGTTTTGGGATTTTTGTTGTTGGAGTTTATATTCGATGAGACGTTAACTAATAGATAAGACGGTTGAACAACACTGTCTCCACTGATGCCGGTTGTGCGCCATAGCCTCCAAGGTTTCTAATCACTGGCAGTCCGAATAGCGTTGTCCCGATCGCGGAAGACGGAACCGTCCAACGGATGCTAAGCTTGAGGTTGCGTTCTTCATGCTCCTTTTTCACGTCAATGGGCATCCAGCGCCGCAGTTTTCCAATCGCTTCCGGGGAGCGCAAATAACGCCCAATGAGGAAGGCGACAGGCCAGCATGCGCAATACTTGGTGGAGCTAACGCATACGGTGTCGGAGAACAACCGTGATGCTGCCACCACATGCAAGCACTCCTACGCAGACAACGATTGTCGAAAACTGACAATCGGTTTATGTCTTCCGAGCGAATCGACCAAGTCTCACAACTGTACAAGAAGACCGCATGAACCGAGGCAACGTATACACTGCCTTGAATTCGTGACTGATGTCGCAAAGGCGCAATAAGTGTCTCAGTCTGAGGAATGCAAGACGGGCCTTTGCAATCCGCTGTGAGACCTCATCTACAATACAGCCGCCAGCTGTGATTCAACTCCCTAGATAAGTGAAGCAATGGACTTTTTCCAGGACGTTACCAACAGAGGTAAGGGTAGGCATAGGCATCTGCCAATCCTGGAGTAGTACTTTACATTTGCCTGACGTGAAACACAGACCATACCTAGTTGTCTCCATCGCTAAGCGGTTCAGAGCGCTTTGGACGGCTTGTGAATCGTCCCCGAGAAAAGCGATATCATCGTTGTAGTCCGAATCCGATACTTTGCCACCTGGGAGAAGCTCAATACCGCAGTTTGTGAGCCTTCCAATGCTCGTTGGACGACATCTTCAATGGCAAAATTGCAGAGAAAAGGCAAGATGGGGCATGCTTGGCGCACCTCAGTGGTGGCAGCAAACGAAGTGGAAAGCGTGCCGTAAGCCCTGACTTCGCCCGACGTGTGATTGTAGTATACAATAGTCAAAGACATCGTTGTCGCATGTGTGAAATTTCGCTATCGATAATAATCACATGGACGACCGTGAGTACAGAGGCTAGATGAAAAGCCCAGAGAGTGGTAAGTCATATGTTTATGGTGTTCAATCAACCAGCAGATAAACCAGAAAATGTAATCTAATTGAAATATATGTATACTGTTTTCAAAATAATCTTTCCGCGAGTCTCATTCGTTTGAAAGATGGCGGATAGGAGTCAAGGTAATAGAGTGTGAACTGAACTTGATATGTGTAAGGATGCAAACATTGGTCAGTAGATTCCGAGGTTGTATCTCGAGGATGCCCCGAATATCGGCCCACTCAACGCAGCTTATGGATCACGATTGGATAATGCCCGTAGGGAGACTTGAGTTAATACCCTAAATATCGTTAGCCCTTTGTTTTCGAACGGAGCGCATTGGAATATCGTATTCAAACGGAGAAAAGCGAGATCCGTCTGAGAAGATTTAACTATTCTGAAAGTTACGACTGCTATCAACAATAACAAATTGTCCGCTTACCCGCTGAAGAACAGGTGGAGTCAACCCCTCGTCCTTCGACACCGTGACGAAGCGATGATTCCACGCGGAATTGTTATATACGTCCTCCAAAATCAAGGTCTCAGTGTACTGGAGTTCATGTGTTGATGGTATTTTGAAGTAGTTGACGGCCCAACGTCGGTGCTGCCATGCATGATAATTCTTGGAATCATCCGAAATCACGTCCGCAGTGAATTCGAGTTCACCGAGACCGTACTTGGTGTGAACTTCTTTGTTTTCATTAGTGCTATCTGCAGGATACGCACTGACTAACTGCATCACAGCCCACTGGCGGTGATGCCAAAGCTGTGGACAGAAAAGCAAAACGAAGTTGCTGAAGGGGGCAGTAGAGACGAAGGAGTAAGTGACCACGCCAAGACGTCTGCAATTGTATGGATCGTAATTGGTTAAGGTACAATTTTGGGTCATAGGGAGACAATGGAATGGCTCAAGATAGACTGGCTCGGCCGTCGACGTCTACTCGTGGAGAGGTATGATTGTCTAGATTCGCAGAAAAAGATGGGTCCCATCAAACCATGATGAGCAAAGCGATGTTTGGTAATCATATAGTCAATCGACATGGAAAACGAACAACGGAGTTGTTGGATGAAAGCTGCCCCAAATGTTGCAGTGAACGCCAAAACAATACAATAAAAAGCCAGCAAAAACCCAGCCACGATTAGCAAGCAAAACAGTTCACAAAATTCTTAACATGCACTAGCCGAGAGGTTAACTCTCTGGGATCAGTATGATGACCCGTGGGCAGGAACGCGATCAATGGCGAACACTGTTACGGTCTGACTATCATCATGATTAACAATAGTACATCAGCCATTTGGACTGATGCTTCGCTGTCATATAATCACAATTAGCTAAGTGATGAAAAACAACAGGAAAAAAGAACATGGATTTAGTGCAAAATTCAAACGTCCTAAGTAGGTAGTCAGCGTCAAGGAACGTACACTGTCAATAACATAGAATAAGAAACCGCTGGTTTCCGTGCAAACATAAGGCGGCATCGACTGAAGTGTTTCCTTGCGGCGTTCATCGCCTTGCGTCATAAACAACCATTGCACCACAGATAACAGTGTGAGACATTCTAGAAAAGTAGACCGACATGTAAACGACCGAAGAAAGGCCACTGATGCCGACCGCACGTTCTGTTCTACAAACCCATGAACCAAGCACAAGGCGAGCCCCGTGGACTCCAGCCCGGAAGGCGAGACGAACGGACAGCAACCAATTTGGTCGTCCATGACTTCATTTCACGCTGCCAAGTCAACTTTTGCACCCATCGAGAAATATGCCACCCTATATCCGGCAAAGAGAACAAGCTCCTCATCGGTAAGCGGTGATCGAGCCTACGTTATACGTGCACAAGTCAACGCAGCCTATTTAGTGTTATCTGCTGTTCTAAGGAAGGGGTCTGATTATCATTGACTAGCACGCGTCTATCCAAATGATCGTTGCGGATACGCTGTTGCTTTTAACACCACAATGCTCCGCAGGCAGCGACAATCAAAGCGTCTCAGAATCTCAGATAGAAGGGGCCAAGTTTCACTTTCAGAGAGTAGGACGGCTCTTACTTGAGTGCTGTAAACACGGTCCTTCAGAATGAGGGGAAACCCTTTCTGACGTCACAGATGCTGTAGATTTTAAAATTTTTGGTAGGCGGTGACCGGGCATACGTCGAAGAAGATAAAGGTTCAGAAAGCTTGAGAATAACGAAGCAGGGCGTGAGGGATAGTCGAGGCATCGAAACAACCGTCCTTAGGAAGAAAGCCAAATTGTAGACGGTTCACATTAAGAGATGGAACTCATTTGTTGAAGTGAGTACGGTGAGGTAGGTGGGTGGAGACAGAGGTCACAGAAATAAGGCGAAAGATGGAAAATCTTGGGAACGAAGATACTTCGGGCTACGTTCATGTGGGGCGGGTAGGGGAGAGATGCAGGATAGTTTGAAGAAGTGACGAAAATGGGATTCATCCGGAGTATATCACTCGAGGGTGCAGCTCCTTCAGTAAGTCGAGCAGCGGACAGTATTAGTTACATGTTCATGGCAACTGATGCAGCTGCCACAATGGGTGAAGTGCACAAGTTGAAACTAGTTGTTCGGCGAGGGGGCTACGATCTTCTCTAGGCGGCAATAATGTGCAAGTTCGTGAATAGTGATTAGGTAGATTGGTCATCTACATTAATTATGTCTACAACAAAGGTCAATAAGTCTGCAAATGCCAAGTGGTCTTGTAACAGGAGTTAAGTTTGAAGGTGCGGAGCGTATGCCATACGAAGCGACCAATCTATAATGCGAACATGCCAACGTGCGGCACATACAAAGGATGTTGTAAAAGTATGTATATAAAGGTGCAGTGAACATCATACTTCTACGGCGGAACCTGTGGCTCGGGCATGTCAGCCTGATAGAGTCGACAAGAATATCCAAGCAGTTCCTATATAAAGAACTTAGTGCAGAAAAGCGGAACGTGGGAAAACTGAAGCTACATTAACAGGACATGATCAACGTTTATTACGAAGCAACGTTGATTGTAGATGCTGAGAATCAAAAGCGGCGGATCAGCGCCATTGTCATGCCCACATAAAAAATACAGTTACTCAGGTGCACGAGAAAATCTTACTGAATCCGGAAAAAAACGCAAATTGCGGAAGCGGCAGGTGGCGATGGAGTCCAGCGTATCGAAGTCAAGCGCATGGTGCTGTAGCACATGCAAATGGTTCAACAAAGCCGGTTTGGTAAGCCACAAGCTTAAAAACGAGGGGGCCAATATCGAAGAGGCGACGAGTCCGCTGAAAAGGTAAGCATATATATACATATATATACATATATACATATATATATACATATATATATATATATATATATATATATATATATATATATATATATATATATATATATAGACGGGAGAGACTATGGTGCGCTGAGGCTGGTGGTGGCTAGGTCCTGACAGATGGTCTACCCACTGCTGCTACTGCTGCGCCATAGTCTCATGTCCTGGGCGCCTCCACGTGGCGACCGCTGGGTGGGAGTTGGGTTTCGCCCTTCTCCCTGCCAAGATCCAGGACACCAATCCGCATGAGTCGGCTAACTGACCATGTGCTAGACTCGCTGCCTTTCGGGTGTTCATTTAATCGAAGGCTTTGGCTGAGGACCCGAGTCGTTCTCCTGTCAGGATTGGGCGCCCTGGCAGTATCGTAGTCCATCCTCTCCGGAGGTTAAGAAGTGGTCGATGGCCCACTTCCCGTAAAACCTAGCCATGGGAGACAACAGGTATACGGGTTATATTCTCAAAGCTCGATTGGCGTAGAGCACGAGGGCCACGCATTGTCTCTGACGGTGGGAGGACACCTCCGGGTGTTCAATGGTTTGTTACTGCCCGCCTCAAGCCAGGCAGCCCCTGGTCAAATTGGTGCAAACCCGCCAAAAACCCACCTGCGTCTGGCCGTGGTCGCAGGTGCGTATCCAATTACGGTCGCAAAACATATGGTAATTGTTCCAGAACCTCAAAGGCTGTGTGTGACGGCCATCAAGCAGATCCCAATCTGTCTCTGCAATCACATTCCCGAGCTGGATCTGCTCTCCACTGCCTTGTGGGTCAGGCTATTGAGCCAAAGGCACCGGGTGGAGTCCCTCACGCAAACCTCCGAAGCATGACCACCTCGCGTGCGATTGCCCACCAATGCAATCGTATGCCTGCGCTCAAAGCACTCAGCATCGGGTGCTGGAACGTGCGCACACTACTGGACCGGAACTCCAGTGAGCGCCCCGAGCGACGCACTGCACTGGTCGCGATGGAGCTGGCGCGCTACCACATCGATAGTGCGGCGCTCAGTGAAACTCGGCTCGCTGAGCAAGGTAAGTTACATGAAGCAGGTGCTGGCTACACATTCTATTGGGTGGGCAACGCCGCCTCAGCACCACGTGAACATGGGGTCGGATTTGCAATATCCGATCGCCTGAATGGGCACCTGGTGGGTGAACCAACGGGCATCAGCGCGCGACTGATGACTGTTCGCCTACGACTCGGAAGAGGTAAGTTTGCTACTTTTATAAGCACGTACGGTCCGACCATGAGTTATCCTGATGACACGCGTGACCAATTCTACACTCAGATATCCTCCGTGATACGGTCTGTGCCGAGGAGCGACCGACTATTTCTGCTGGGTGATTTCAACGCACGCGTTGGGCGTGACGCATCAGCGTGGACAGATGTTATCGATCCACATGGCATTGGTTCAACGAATGCGAACGGTGACAGTCTGCTCTCACTGTGAGCCACTCACGGCCTGACGATCACAAACACGCGGTTTGCACTGAGTGCGAATGACATAGCAATCTGGACGCACCCACGGAGTGGTCACGCTCACCTGCTCGATTATGTCATCGTACGTCAGCGTGATATGCGTGAAGTGCGCATGACACGTGTACTGCGTGGAGCTGAGTGTGGCACTGATCACAAATTGGTTCGGATCAAACTGTACATATATTTTCGTAAATCTATGTATTGCACTCCCGCCGTGAATCGGCGTAAATTTAACATTTGCTCCCTCGGTACTGTGGCGAAACGTACTGAGCTGGAGAAGGCGATGGCTGCACGCCTGTGTGATGCGGACTGCATAGCCACAGTGAGCGACCTGTGGCACCACATTCGCGATCAGGTGACAGCTGCTGCCGAGGAGACCATTGGGCGCGCAAACCGTAAACGGCCTGATTAGTTTGATGACAACAATGCGACGATTGGCGCATTGGTGTCGGAGAAGAATGCAGCATTTGCTGCACATGCTGAAGACCCCAGTGACTTGGGGAAGAAGAGTCAGTTTCGCAAACTTCGACGGCGACTGACCCGAGAGCTCCGTCGCAGTAAAAATGCATGGTGGACTGAGAAGGCGAAGCAGATGGAATGCTACGCCGAACGCCGCCAACACAAGGAATTCTTTGACTCCTTGAAGGCGGTGTATGGACCGAGATTGGAGCCGCTGAGGACACTGATCGATGGTAGTTCAGGCGCTACCTGCACCCAGACTGCAGACATAATGCAGGTCTGGCGCAAACACTTTGACTGTCTCTTGAACAACCGTTCAGAGATCGACTGGCCTACATTGAACGGCCTGAAGCAGCACGATGTGAAGGCGGATCTGGCGGATACGCCGACACGGGATGAGACGCAGAGAGCACTTGCTCAGCTGCGAAACGGCAAGTGCGCCGGAGCCGACGGGATCCCGCCTGAAGTATTGAAACACGGTGGACCCGCGTTGTTGACTTCGCTACACCACTTAGTGCACCGCGTGCAGAATGAGGAGGTGTCTACTTAGCTCAAGGATGCCTTTGTGCTACCACTGTACAAGGGCAAAGGGAGCAAGCAATGTTGCACGAATTATCGTGGCATCAACTTGCTGAGTTGTGTGGGCAA